AAAATTCCTTAGCCACAGAAAGCTCAGTAACTTCTAAACAAAACTAAAATCATTCTTAGAATAAATTTAGAGAAAAAACAGTAGAGAAAAAACAGTATGCAGCAGTGCAGAATCTTTATTTTATAAATCAGAAATGTATTTTAGTTTATAATATTCTGCAGAAAGAATATGGATTTTGGAACTCAACAAGACCTGGCTTGGCAACTCTGTTCTGCTGCTTACTGGGCGTGCCATCTTGGATCTGTGACTCAATGCCTTTGAACTCTAAAATTCTCACAAGGCAAAAGAAAATATTAATATCCAATTCACTTGAAAAACCTGAGATGAATGAACTCCTTTTGAGCTGTTAATGAGGCTAATGAATTCAAGGGCACCTGTGGCACCTACCCCCACATCTGGCACATTAATAAATGGTAGCTATGATTATCATTTTTGTTTTGAGAGCTTTTCTTTTGACTCCTTACTTCCTATTGCCTATGGAGGAATATGGCTTCCCCAGTAGTTAAAGAGTATGAGTACAGGAGTCTAAAACATCTTTAACTTGGGGAACTACCATTTACTAGTTTATTAATCTATTTACTAACGGATCTGAGCTCCAGTTGCATAGGTGGGTATATGAAGAAAACAAAATCTTGCAGGGACATTCTAAAAATTCAAAGTGATATATTTTAAAGTGTCTAGCATAGAACAAGCACTCTATTACAGTAGATATTATAATTCTTATGAGTCTTCTCTCAGGTGCTATCCTGCCCTGTGTTAAAGAACCTATGTTCATGAGTATTTTTAAAGTAAAAGTAGGAAAATTTTCCTCCATTATATTTCACATCTTTGCAGAAAAACATAACTTGATATCATAAATGTTATTCTTATAAATAATATTTGTATAATGACTTATAGTGTACAAAATACCTTTACAGGGGCACCTGGGTGGCTCAGTGGGTTAAAGCCTCTGCCTTCAGCTCAGGTCATGATCCCAGGGTCCTGGCATCCGGCTCTCTGCTCTCTCTGCTCAGCAGGGAGCCTGCTTCCTCCACTCTCTCTGCCTGCCTCTCTGCCTACTTGTGATCTCTGTCTGCCAAATAAATAAATAAAATCTTTAAAAAAACAAACAAACCTCTATAACTTGAGACAATGCTCTAAAAGTGTTCCCCAAATTAACCACTCTTTGCTGTGATTACTCCAATCATTATTCTGGCAACCCATTCTACCATCAAGATGTTTAATTATGAACAATAATGATAAACTTCAAATATTAAGGCAGCTACTTAAAAGTTAAATGTGTTATGTCATAGGCCTATGTTTTTAGAAATCCTTGGCAGTTGAAATTGGTTAGATGAAACTGAGTGACTGGTTACAGATTCTCCATCTCAGCAGTGGAAGCCTTCTCCAGTCAAGCTTTAACAAGAGACACTTCCAGAAGTGCCTTCTTAATTTCTCTTTGACTTCTTGAATATTGTTTAAAGTATCAGTTAGGTATGCCACTGTTGTCACTGAGGTTAAAATACAATTTAAAAAAATCTGGTAGGTGGTTTCTGGAACTTATTATGTAAACAAATGAAAAGTAAAAATATGGGTAACTTTCTTAACATCATGGATTAGATCAGATGCTGAGATTAATGACTACTTATCTAAACTCAGAAGACATGCAATTAAATGCTCAAGAATAGAAAGCACTTTACAGTTCATAAGACAAAGATGTTTCTGCCAGCATAGTAACTTAACTGAAGCACATACTTTAAACTCACCAAACACATCACTTCCCTCAATGTTTACAAGGTCAAAACCAGACATCAGCCACAACCTGAAGTGTACTGAGTTGCTCTGAACAACTTTTGGACGGATCGCTTCAAGAAGCAGCAGGCTGGTTCCCACTAAGGCCCCTGGGGTGTTCCATACACACATGTACTTTGAGAACCAATGTTTAAGGACAGCATTACTATGTTTTTTGTTTTTTTGTTTTTTTTTTTTAAAGATTTTATTTATTTATTTATTTGAGAGAGAGAGAGAGACAGATAGTGACAGAGATAGCAAGAGAGAGAGAGAGCACAAGTGGGGAGGAGAGCGAGAAGCAGTCTCCCGCCTTACAGGGAGCCTGATGTGGGGCTGGATCCCAGGACTCTGGGATCAGGACCTGAGCTGAAGGCAGACGCTTAACTTACCGAGCCACCCAGGCCCCCGCAGGACAGCATTACTCTTAATCCTTCAGATGAGCAGCCTAACAACAACCGTTCTTTACGCAAGGTATACAGCTCCTGATGCAATCGTCCTCGTTTCCACTGTTTTATCCTCTATTCAGTCCTTTTACCCTCTATTCAGTCTAGTAATTGTGGCCATTATACTTACATTTTAAAACACGATGTGACATATGATATGGGTAACCGCCACTTCGTGACTGATGACTGAGAGCACTGAGCTGGCATTAGTACTAGAGCAGTCTTTCCTAGCTCTGCCTCCAAAATCCCTACAAAGGCAGGCCATTTGCTTGTTTTTGGCCTTTGCTTTCTTTCGCTGCCTGGCATATCAATCAAACCACTCGGGGGGCTTCTAAACTCTCTCAGTGTCTATTTTTACCAGACGCATTAACTAGAGCTTATGTTTATAGCATCAATGATAATTTCAAGGCTATTTTACAAACCAAATGTTTTGATCTTCATGATAAAGTGACATGAGACGAGGAAACAGGCATGAAGAAGTTATCTGATGTGCCTGAGTCACTTGAAGCTAGTGTCCAAATCGAGTACCGCCGTCCTGACACTGAACTTGGGCTCAATTCACCCCCATCACACTTCAACATTTGTTGGTCTTTGGATTGGACTTAACGTGGGAAATTCTTTTCACTAGTTGTGTGATTTTTACATATATTGGTTAGACCCTGAATTTTAGCTTCCTTGTCAGTAAATGGGGGATAACAATACCTAATTCATAGAGTTACTTTGATGGTTAAATGAAATGGTATATGTAAAGTAAAAATTCTAGAATAAGGCAAGTGCTCAAAAATGTTAGTCCTTCCAATCCCTTCTTGTTGAGTCTTCACCTAAAGCTAGCTCCTTTAGGTCTACAGAGGATCTTTGAAGTTACTTTCTAAACCAGTGGTGGGCCAGGAGAGCTGAGTATATTACTGTATCACTAGGATGGCAACACTTCATTGAACCAAGGATTTATCAGTCATCTACTATATCCTAGCACAGTGCTAAGTACTACAGATGCACAAAGAAGTAGCAGCAGCCAAGGAATTTTGGCAGTGACAAGAACCAGACTTGATTTCCTAGAAAATAAAGATACTCCAGGAGGGGCTAGTATGCCAAGTTTAACAGGATTTTTTGAAAATTCTCCCAAATAATTTCAAATAGAATAAAATGATTTAAAAGCTTATACATATTAGAGTTTACTTCTGAATGGCACATTCAGCCAAACCCCAAAGTGTTATTACTACAGGCAGTGGTACTGTGTCCAAACCATATTATGACATGGGGTGAGGAAAGGAGCATGGAAGAGCCAATCTCAAAGGGACCTAGGAAAGAAAAGTTTAAAAATGTGTGAGGTGTTTTGCTTTGTTTCCATGACTTGAGTCACCTAGATTATAAAATACCCTAGGGCAAAACTATCCCTTTGGTATTTTCTCTATCTTTCTCCTTGAGTGCCTGGGAACAGAAATATTTGTTGAGTTGAATTTTAGCCTCTGAGTCAAACCAGACAGACAACCTAAAAAAAGGTAATTACAATTCCACCACATTTGGATTAGCCCATAAGAAAAGTATTTATAGGCAACTAAAACATGGCACATTGAAAAGATTTTTCAAGGTCAAGGCTGGTGAAATCTTAGCATAATTTTGTTTAAGCTATACATTGCATCGTTAGCAACAGTAAGTCGTGTATGAGGCAATGTGTAGTGCGAAACAACGCAGCGTTTAAGGTCAGACAAGTTGGCTCTCATTCTGCCTCTTCTTGTGATTTTAGGCAATGACCAGACCTCTCAGAGCCATAGATTTCCTCCTTTTAGAATGGGAATAATGCAATCTACCTTATGACATCATTGAAAACCTTAATTGAGATGGACTATTACATGTATGCACAGTAATTACTCGGTAACAATTTTGAGCGTTGAATACATATTAGACTATTCAAAGCACTTTTTATATAACTGGTTTAAACTTTACCATAACTCCAAGGGATGGATGTATTAATTATTCCCATTTTAGAGATAAGGAAATTGAGGCACAGAAAGTTTTCTGAAGAACCTTGCCACGGCCAGTTACTAGCTGGCTGAGTGGGAGCTCAAGCTCAGGCTCAGGCAGTCTCGCTGCGGATCTGTGTTCTCACCATCTTGCTTTGCTTTGTCCCCTTGCTGGCAGAGCAGCTCATTACATGCCCACTACTCCTCACCCTGGATTCTGGTATAAAAAATTCAACAGTTCCCACCTTTCCAGAAATAGTTACACCGAGGATGCAGGGCACATGCATAAGGAGAGACAAAGTCATACACAACACAAGATGTCAAACGTCAGAGCGCAGTATAACTACAAGTTCTATGGCGGGTTCGAAGGAAGGACATAACTGGGATGGAAAATTGGCAGGCACGCTTTTTTTGATGTAGGTGGAACTTGACTTAGGTCTTAGAGGAAAAGCAGAACTAAAACCAGGAAGGAGGATTTGGGAAAGTTATTTCAGATAGCCGAGACAGCAAGGACAGAGACGCTCTGTGTTAGGGATATAAGGCTTGGTGTCAGGGGGAAGGTTTCTCCATGGGATCACTGAGACTGGAGAACAGGAGGCACTTTAAAAACATTTTTTAGAACGTTTGAGAAGCCCAGAAAGGAGGAAGGACCTCTCATGGAAGAGCCACCGGGGGTTTCTGAAAGGCGGTGTATCTGCATGAATGGTGCCATGTCATGCCAAGTAGTGCTTTTCCAAAGGCCGATGAGATGGCAGATGTGTAACCCATGGGGTGGGAGGACCGAAAGTTCCATCACCGAGAGCATGTTAGTCCTCGGGACACATACCTACATTCAGACACTTCGCAAGGATCCCGCGATGATTATCTGCTTGGTGGATGTTCCATGGCCTCCTCTCACCTGCTTCCGGTCCTTTTCACTTGTTCCTTGGTTGTTAGCACCTGGGGGTAGAGATGGAGAAAAAGTGATTTTCCAGTTAGTCTTTTATTTTTTATTTTTAATTTAATTTTTTTGTTGTTGTTGCTGTCCCTCACTAGCAGTGGGTAAAAATATGTTATGGGAAGAAGTATATTTTGGATGATCAGATTTCCTTCTTTCTTCTTTAAAGGGTGCTTCCAGGGCCTTTATTAAACAATTTGCAGATGAACAGCAGAGCTTACATTTGAGCCTAACCCTGGAATATGTAACTGTTAATTCCCTTGGAGTAGAGATGGACTTGTAAGTTGGGGACTGCCCACATGCACTTTCAGATAATGTTCCTGCAGCAGAACCTTGTTTCTGTGATTGAAGTTTTTAGGTGACAGAGGTTAAATGTACTCTCCTTAAAGATGCCCACATTGTGTATCTCCAGACTGTCTTTTAGAGCTGTATGATGATTATCCATACAAATCATTTTTACCTTTCTTTCCTACTACTTGAATATATTAAGCACTTACTGCTTTTTCCTAAGTTGAATATAGAACACTAGGAGACCTGAGTAATTCTCTAGCTGCAGAGTACATGTTTGGCTCTGAAACTAGAGTGTTGTATTAGATTAAAAAAGAAAGAAAGAAGAAGATGAGGAAATTAAACAGATTGCAATGAAACAGGTTTGCAACGCCAAACTTTTTTTTAAGTAATATTTCATTGTTTTTTTCCTCAGGCTATTATTAAAAGTATATATGACATCTAAATAGATTGCAAGACCCAGTCCCAATATATCATTATCACTAATATATATTTAATAGTAGATATAAAGATTATTCTGGTCCCAAATGGCCAGAATATTCATCTTTTACACACACATACTTTTTTTTTTAAGTTTTGCTTTTTTTCTTAAAAAAAAAAAATTATGTATTTCTTTTAGAGACAGAGCAAGAGAGGCACCTGGGTAACTCAGTTGGCTAAGCATCTGCCTTCAGCTCAGGTCAGGATCCCAGGGTCTTGGGATTGAGCCCCGCATCAGGCTCCCTGCTCAGTGGGGAGCCCACTTCTCCCTTTCCCTCTGTTGCTCCCCATGCTTGTGTGCGCTCTCTCTGTCAATAAATAAGTAAAATCTTTAAAAAAAAAAATTGAGAGCGAGAGCAATTGAGAGCGTGGGGGGAGGGGCAGAGGGATAAGGAGAGGGAATCCTAGGAAGACTCCACACTGAGTGTGGAGCCCGACGTGGGGCTCAATCCCAGGCCCCTGAGATCATGACCTGAGTTGAGATCAAATGGCAGATGCTTAACCAACTACACCACCCAGGCACCCCGCACCCACCACATCTTTTTCAAGAAAAAGACTTTAAAATTGTATACACTTGGCTAATTGCCGGCTACCAAATCTCTTGTATCTCTTCTCTGATTAACATACGTTATGTGTTACGTCTAGTTCTTCCACTTGAATCTCATTCTCCACCTCACTATCCCAGCACTGCCCAAACAGTTCCAGAGAAACCAGAGAACTAGTAGAAAAAAAGTACATTAGGTTTTTTTTCAGGATATGGCACACATCAGTAGTGGCTACTTATTAGCCAGAAAACTGGATCCATTGCTTGTGAGAACCTCTCACGTGCTCATAGGCTGCTGACCTCAACGTGAGACAGAGGAAAACAAAGCCTCAACCACTCTGCTTCTCAATTTGTTTGAGAAGCTAGAATTATTTCTAAAGTTCCCAAATAAACAGAAATCATTATAATTATGAATAATTAAAATGCTAAACTCAAGAGGGCACTCAACATTCGTTACATTGCAGAACTCATCCCCTAAGGGTAGTACCTTCAATTAGTTCAGTTTTTACAACAGAAGAAAAATGTGACAATCAGTAATTGCAGGTATTTAGCACAAAGAACAAAACAAGCTAACTTGCCTTTACATCACTCTCTCTCAGCCAGCAGGGGCACTGCTCTCTTTTGGATTTGTAACGTCTATACTAATTCCAGGACACAGAAAAGCAGCATTTGGCAGGAGAGCAGAACAACATCCCTCCTTCAAAGTGCTAAGGAGATGCACTTTGGCTTTATTCACTATTTGGAATAAAGTAGAAAGTATCATATAACAATAAACAGTTTCAAAAGAGAATCTTTTAAAAGATACTTTTTAAACTTATCGATACATTTACTCAACCTACAAATGTTTATTAAGCACTTAACCATGCATCATGGTTCATGCTAAGTGATAGTTACATTGCACTATAAAAACTAGCCAACGGTTATTTTTTTTTAAACATATACAAATTCCATAGAGAAATCTGAACACAGCAATATATTTTTACATTCTGACAAATATAAAGTTTGAAGTATATTGTTACTATATATAAAATGAAGCTATCCAAAGCATTATTCCTCATTATCCTTGAAGTTGTAAAAAATTATTTTAGTTTAAAAAATTAAATCACAAGTTATTCAGATTTTTCTTCCTCTGAGGCTCCTCTATGAAAAGCATAATTTTTTTCTTACAAAATATTCCCATTTTTTTGCAATAATAAACACTATTACAATTACTAGGGTTTTTCTTAGATTTTTAAAGAACTAAAATAAATGTCATGTTGGAAATGGTTTATCAAAGAGTAACCACAGTTTTGTATCTAAGAGAATGTAGCAAAGCAAATTTTTTTTGCTCTGAGTCAATTTCAAATTGACAACAATGACCCTAGAAAAGGTTATCTGCCACATTGGTGAGATACATTTTGTCTTTCATTTAAGTAGAGGAAAGAATTCATTAGAAGTGTGGTGCGAGTAGTTTCAGAATGATAAATCTCAAGTCACCAATTCCACTTTTAATGATTAGTTGCCTGAGTCTTGTATTTAATTAAAATGGTTATTTTAAATGCTTATATTTAATTTACAGATAATTAGCTGAACCTCAATGTTACTGCTTCATCCATTTTGAAATTAATTAATTTATAAAATAGCTCAAAAAGTGCTGTAAAATTTTAATATTAAGATAAATCAGGGTTCCTCTGCATTTTGTGTTGGTTTCAGTTGTAACTCATAATGAGCCATTGGTGGTAGGTATGACTGCAGGGTCTCTAGAATGGCTAATATGTAGTAGAACCCAATATTGACATGTCACTGCCATTTCCTTTGTTACACATGATATGTACTTTAACCTCTTAGGTAATAAAAGTTTATATCATCAAGGATATGACTGTTTTAACTTTAAAGGGATCTAAATTTTAGAAACTAATTCTGGCTTTAATACATTTAGGAGGAACCACTGTTTTTAGCAAACGATTCCTAAGGGTGCAACAACTGGTGTTAGAAAAAAATCTTTGAGTCAGTCTGATCATGGAACCAGAATGTGTTTTCAAGGAAATGTTCTGACCTTAACTTCTATTTAAACACATAACATAGTTTTATACCTAAGGAACCCAGAGAGAGCAGTTGGTAACGCAGGACCAGTTTTCCCTGGCTTACAGAATAGGAGGAAATTCTAACCTCCCACAAGAACTACTGAAGTGGGTTTCCTGGTGCAATGAGGAAGAGCATCCATGAGCAGCCTACTCCTTGGTGTGCTGCGCTAAGCTGTGCAAATTTGTCTATTAATGATATTGCTGTCATTTATTAGTTACTAAATAGGTGCTAACACTGACCTAAATGCCTCATGAGCTGGTTTCATTAGGCCCATTTTACAGGTGAACAAAGTGAGGCCTAGGGAGTCTAAGGCACCTGCCAAGGGCCATGTAATTAGTGGTGATGGGGGCGGATGCAAAACCGCACTCCATAGCTGTGTGTCTCACTGTCCCAGCTCACCAGCTCAGAGCTCCAAAGGAAGCATTTTCAGTTGTGAGATGCTTACCACCACCCCTGCTACCACAGCAAAAAACCTCTCCCCTGCAAAAATAGTGCGAGTTAATTAAAAGACGAAGGCACCACATTTGGCTCAGCTATTAGGATTTAAAATCTGGTGCTCCCAATATGAGTCTTCTCTCATATCAATCTACACAGAATTTTCTGGTATTTAATTAAAACCTGGTCTGGGTCTCCTACTCTTCAATGAACCCTCCTAGTGGTGGAATCTGCTCCTGCCATTCTCTGATATCAGCTCAAAACTTTTGCATCCCCTCCCACCCTTGAGGATTTTAATCCTGGGCAGGCTCAGCTTCCACGTGAAATGAAGTCACATAGACTGTTTCTCTTCTTTTCACACTAGTACAATTATGTGGCCTTCCAGGATGCCTTAAGCTATACTGTATCTCAATTACCTCAACTGCCATCTGTTTCTATTTCTTTCAGCCCTTCTCCCTGGTACCCTAAACAATGAATGATATTCCCACTGGAGAGTTAGACTTAGTGTGTTCTCTGCCAAGGATGTGGGTGACACACAGAGATACCCCTCCTATTTCAGTAAGATGATATGAGTTTGTGATCAAAACCAATTAACTATTGATTTTCAGTTTGACATTCCAACTATCCACCATTATCTTAATTCTGGAAATCCCCAGAAGATCCAAAGCATTGGATCCATCACAGATTAATCATAACGGGGAAGTACTGTGTGAGGAATGAGGAGAGGGAGACATGCAGGCACATCTGCTTTGTCAATCTTGCTAAGGCCTTTAAATGCCATCTGTTTTCCATTCTTTTCTGGCTACCATCTTTCCCTAGGTTAAAAGATTTTCCAATGACTGTGGAAAAAAACCTTGAAAACTAGTTTGAGATTTTAATTCTGTATTTCATCTGCCAAAGAGTGAACTACAGTTAGCCTCAGCAAGTGTTTCTAATAGATAAGGGAGTTGTTGCTTCACATAAAATTACACTGAGTCTAACGGTAGACATAGCCAACCATATCATCTTCATACTATCAGAAGTGTTAGTAAGTCTGAAAGGCATCCATTTTGAGGAGGGTCTAAGCTACTTTTATTTTACTTCAAATAAGGGTTATCATGGAATAAAACTGATAATTCTTTGGGGGAACAATTTTTGGAACATAAAAAAAAGTATGAAAGGGAAAATGAAACTGACGGTTGTGACTAGCAG